AAGGCTAACTATTTCTGGGATAATCTAGACTTCAAGGCATTCGAGGATATTCTGGCTCTTCTGATATATGGCTTGGTATTGTTTCCGAACTCTGACTCCTTTGTTGATGTGAATGCGGTGAAAATATTCATCTCTCGCAATCCTGTACCCACTCTCTTGGGTGACATCCTTCATCAGCTTTATGCTCGTACTGCCCGAAAGCGGGGAACCTTGATGTGCTGTGCTCCTTTATTGGTAAGGTGGTTTATTTTGCACCTTCCCAAGTCAGTGCTGAAGAACAAAGAAGGCATGGACTGGGCCTATAGGGTTATGTCTCTCTCGCATACTGACATCATTTGGACTCTCAAGGGTATGGATGAGCTGGCTATCATTGATTGATGCAGGGAGTACCCTAATGTTCCACTGCTAGGAACCCATGGAGGAATTTCTTACAATTCGTGCTTGGCCTTACGTCAGTTTGGGCGTGCTAGAAGAGAAGGTCCTCATGAGCTGTTAATGCCTAGTATCATCTTTGATTTTCAAGGGGATAGCGACGAGCAATGTCGCAGATTCATAAGGGCTTGGGGTAGAGTTCACCAATCTGATCCACATGAGTTGGGTCCAAAGACTTCACTTCCGATGGAACCATATCTTAGATGGGTCCGTATTCGTGCACAAAAGCTGGGTATGCCCTATGAAGCCGTCCGGCCTATCATTGTTGAAGTTGATAATGAAGACGGGGTTCTTCCAACCATCCTCCATCCTCATATGTCCACTGACATTGGGGCACTAAAAAGGTCTTGGATGCAACTGAGAGAGGAACGGGATTTTTAAAGAGAAAAGTTCAACGAGCAAGAGCAGAAGATCCAGAAGTTGACTAGGCAGTTGGAGAACGAGCGGATCCTGAATGACTATGTTCGCACTGAGAAGAAGAGACCATGGGAGCACTGATTGTCCTTTGATGATTTCCTTTCCAGTTTTATTTACTTTTCAGTATTTCCTTTCATGTAACGCCTTAAGGGAATCAGTTGAATAATTTGAATTCCAAAGTTTATCTAATAAAGTGTGTTTCATTTCTTATTTACAAATTTGAATCTCCCGATTATCTTTGAAATCATGTCATACGCATTTCATCCCATGCACTCCATAACAGGTACCCGTTACAGGTCTCTTATCTTCTTCGTTGTTTATTTCAGCACTCATCATGTTTGCTGAACCTTCAATTGAGCAAGCTATCAAGGCCCTACAGGCCCAGAATGCCCAGTTTCAAGAGCTGTTCATGAATCTAGCTAAGGGTCAGCAAGACCTGAAGACCCTGATTTTGAAAGAGAAGAAGAAGAAGAAGAATAGGACAACTTTGTTTAACACAGGACACAGGTTTGGAAACAGGCTACAAAATGAAGTTGATTTGACCACCTCATCTGGAGGGAAAGATAGTCAGGAAGAAAGGAGGGCTCCTAGCCCTGTGGTCTCCGACAACGAGACGGACTTTGACGAAGAGCAATATCCTCCGGCCGAGGATAGATACAAACAACTGGAAGACCGGTTGAGTGCTATGGAGGTTCAGAAAGTGTCTGGTCTGGACTTTGGTGATCTGGGTCTATCATAAGGGTGGTGATTCCCCACAAATTCAAGGCACCAGCCTTTGCTATGTATGACGGAGTTTCTTGTCCGAAGCTGCACCTCCGGTCATATGTAAGGAAGATTCAGTCGTACACCGCTGATAAGAACTCATGGATCCACTTCTTTTAGGACAGTCTCTCAGGGACTCAGCTTGAGTGGTTCTACCAGTTGAACGGAGCTAGTATTCGCAGTTGGGAAGATTTGGCTACTGCTTTCTACAGGCAGTATCAGTACAACTCCGACCTCGCTTCTACGCGTACCCAACTCCAGGGTATGTCAATGGGAACGGGTGAAGGATTCAAAGATTATGCTCAGAAGTGGAGAGAACTCGCCGGAAGGGTGCAACCACCTTTGGCTGATCGGGAGCTTGTTGACATGTTTCTGGGGACCTTATCTGGTCCATTTTTTAACCACCTGATTGGAAGCTCTTCATCTGGGTTTACAGAGCTTATTTTGACCGGTGAGAGGATTGAGGCTGGTATTAAGGCTGGGAAGATACAGAAGGGTGCCTCATCGAGTACCGAGAAGAAGCCCTTTAAGAAAGAGTCAAGTGCTGTCTACAGTGCGAGAAGACAGAATAGACCCGAACACCGCCAAGTTGTTAATGTGGTTGTTATTTCAAAACCTGTTGGTGCTCCTCAGCATAACAATCAACAAAAGAACGAGAGACCTCAAAGGCAATTCACCCGTCTCAGCATGACCTTATCTCAGATTCTGCCACAATTGCTGAAGACTAATCTGGTGATTCCAAAGGAAGCCCCAAAGAATCCAAATACCACATCACCGAGGTATAACCCTAATGCCTGCTGTGCTTATCACTCTGATAGCCCGGGGCATAATACAGATGATTGTTGGACTTTGAAGAATAAGATACAGGACTTAATTGATGCAAAGGAGATTGAGTTCGAGGCGCCCGAAAGGCCTAATGTTGTGACTGCTCTTATGCCCAAGCATGGAGTGAATGCTATAGATGAAGACTTGTTTGTGGTTTCTGTGAATGACATTGTTACCCCTTTGATGACTGTAAAGAAGAACCTTTTGCTAGCCGGTTTATTTCCGGGCTGTGGCGAAGGTTGTCGTATGTGTGTTGTTCTACCTACCGGTTGCCATCTCTTGAAATCAGGTGTCCAACACTTGATGGATAGTAAAGAAATTCTGTTTGAGAAGACTGTTGTTCCTTTAGTTCATTCTGAAGAAGTTGCCATTATCACCATCTTCGACAATTCTTCCAAGGCTCCCTCGAGGAAGCCTGTTAGAATTACATCTGTTCCAAGAATCGCACATGTGATTATCACTGTTCTGGGGCCCATCCCCTACACCTCTGATAAAGCTGTCCCTTGGCACTATGGGGCTGATGTTTACTTTCATGGAGTTAAGCAAGAGTTGGATGCTGATACTGACGTCAGCAATATTGTTGGACCCGCTAAAGTCACCCGCAGCGGAAGACTTTTCTCACCTGATATCTCTCCACCAACTGCTCGAAAGCCCGTTGTTATTACACCTGCCAGTGTACCTGCTACCATTCATGTTCAAGTTCCTATTCTTACCCCTGTCACCGAGTCATCTGACACTCGGGGCAAAGGGATCACCACGGATGTGCCTGCCCAGACGGAGGCGCCGAAGACGATTACTGGTGAAGCTTCTAAGCAAGAGATGGAAGAAATTCTGAAGATTATCAAAAAGAGTGACTACAATGTAGTTGAACAGCTGGGGAAAACCCCGTCCAAGATATCCATGTTGTCACTGTTGCTGTGCTCAGAAGCCCATGCCAAGGCTCTGATTACCTTCTTGAAGACTGCCCACGTGCCACAAGAGACATCAGCTGATCAGTTTACAGATTGCATGGCCAATTTGACTGCTGATAATGGGTTGGGTTTCTCTAACGCCGACTTGACCACTAAGGGGAAGAATCATAACGATGCCCTGCATGTCTCCATTGAATGCAGGGGCACTACTCTTGCACATGTATTGGTGGATACTGGTTCCTCATTGAACGTCTCGCCTAAGAAAGATCTGGACCGGTTGGACTGTGAAGGGTTGGAATTGAAACCTAGCAACATCATTGTCAGGGCCTTTGATGGGTCTAAGAGGATGATGCATGGAGAAGTTGATATCCCGATTAAGGTTGGTTCTCAGGTTTTCAACTCTACGTTCTATGTGATGGACATTCGACCATCTTATTCTTGTTTGCTGGGTCGTCCATGGATCCACAAAGCTGGGGCCGTAACCTCAACGCTCCATCAGAAGCTGAAGTACCCGGTCAAAGGGAAGATTGTGACAGTACAAGGAGAGGAAGAGTACATGGTTAGCCACCTCAACTCTTTCCGATATGTAGAGATGGATGGGGATTTCATTGAGACCCTATTTCAACATTTTGAAGAGGTTCCTCAGACGCTGGCGTCAGCTGAAACTGCTGTTGAAGACTCTCCTATGAAGATGGCTTCCTTTAAGGACGCCCGGGCTGTTGTTGAGAAAGGTGGGTGTGCAAATTGGGGCCAACTCCCTGATTTTACTCAGAAGACTAACAAGTTTGGTTTGGGTTTCACTGCAGAAGCTCAAAGGGCTGTTCGGAATGCACGAATCAGAAGACCTCCCGTGTTCATCAGCAACTCGGGGGTGAATGCCATTTAAGACGATGTGGAAGAGTCTGAGTTCGACAGCTGGATCTATCCTATGACCGACGGTGGACCAAGCAACTGGACAGCAAAGGACTTCATCCCTATTACTTTTGTTACCCAGTAATTAAACTTTTTGTTTTGAACTTGTAACAGACAATGTTTTAAACTTTATGGCTCGATGCCTTACCCGAGGCACTGTGGCTTCATTTGTGAGGGCTTTATGTGTGTCATTTTCATATATCATTAATAAAAGCATTGCACGTTCTTGCATTTCAAATTTTGTGCTCCTTGTTTTTCTTTATTATATATTGCGAAAACAACTATTTTACATACACTCACATATACAGGTCCACATCCACTATGGATCTCAGTGGTAACGACTCTGCTACTGCCAGTTATGACTTCGAAAATCCGATCAACTTAGCCGAAGACGAAGGTGAAGATGATTGCGAAGTTCCCGGTGAACTTGCAAGACTGTTACTTCAAGAAGAGAGGGTTATTCAGCCACACGAAGAGTCGGTAGAATCGGTGAATCTGGGTACTGAGGTAGACAAGAAGGAAGTTAAGATCGGTGCAAATCTGGAGCCTAGTGTGAAGCAACGGTTGATTCAGATGCTGCGTGACTATGTTGAGATCTTTGCCTGGTCTTACAAAGATATTCCTGGGCTGGATACTAATATTGTGGTTCATCGCCTGCCTACCAAGGAAGACTGTCCTCCAGTAAAACAGAAGGTTCGCCGAATGCGCCTTGAGATGTCTGAGAAGATCAAGGCTGAAGTTATGAAACAGTTTGACGCCGATTTTCTAGCAGTTACTTCTTACCCTCAGTGGGTGGCCAATGTGGATCCTGTGCCGAAGAAGGATGGTAAGGTTCGAATGCGTGTTGACTATAGGGATCTTAACACCGCAAGCCCCAAGGATGACTTCCCTCTACCTCATATCGACGTTCTGGTTGACAACACCGCTCAACACAAGGTATTCTCCTTTATGGATGGTTTCTCCGGTTATAATCAGATAAAAATGGCTCCCGAAGACATGGAGAAGACAACTTTTTTTACTCAGTGGGGCACCTTTTGCTACAAGGTCATGCCTTTCGGATTGAAGAATGCTGGGGCAACGTACCAGCGTGCCATGGTTGCTTTGTTTCATGACATGATCCATCATGAGATTGAGGTATACGTCGACGATATGATTCCAAGGTCCCAGACTGAGGAGGAACACCTCACTACAACATTTGTTGTCTCTGGCAACACTTTTTTAGGTAATATGTAGAAATTGTTGCCTTAAATTTATATAGGCAACGATTTACGATTGTTGTCAAAAATATGTTTGCAACCCTTGATAATTGTTGCCTAAAATACTTTTGGGGACGTTTATGGAGCGATACTCTTTTATTTTTTTGCCAACGGTTGTTAATTGTGCCCTTAACTGCTTTTGGGGACGATTTTAGAGCGTTAAAATATTATTTCTTTAGCAATGTTTGACAATTGTCCCCTAAAATATTTTTGGGGACATTTTTAGATTGTTACATTAGTTCTAATAAAAGGCTACATTTCTGAAATGTTGTATAAATTTTTTTAGAATTATCAAAATTTTGGTGGCAATCTTCCCTCCAAAACTTATACACTAAAAAACAAATATTTTTCTCTAAACATTATTAATATATATATAAAAAAAATATTTTTCTAACACAGGAATTTAAAAATAAAAAATTTCAATTAAACAGAAAATAAAAAATTATATATATATATATATATATATATATATATATATATATATATATATATATATATATATATATATATATATATATATATATATATATATATATATATATATATATATATATATATATATATATATATATATATATATATATATATATATATATATATATATATATATATATATATATATATATATATATATATTAGTCTAAAACTTATATATATTTCAATTAAACAGAAATTTTTCTAACACATTATTAATATTTCTCTAAAACTTATATATATTACTTTTTAAAAAAACTAATATACATTAAATTAAATAAAAAATTAAAATACATATTAAATCAAAATTAAATTAAAAATCAAACTTTTTAAACAAATCAATAGTAGTTGTGATTAACTAATATTAAATGAGATTAATTAATATGATTGATAATATAAAATAATTTTATATTGTCATCCAATAGAAATTCAATAATTTACTATATTATTTAAAAAAAATTAAAATAAAAATGTATTTTAATTAAATACATGATTGTGATTGTGATTGATTGAAAATTTAAAACTAATATTTTATATGAAAAATATTCTAGATTCCAATAAGTGCATTCCAATTTAATTTTTAATTATATGGAAAATTATTAAAACCATATTTTATATAATTTTTCTTGTCAGCGCCATCGCACGCAAGCTCCATCGCTGCCAGAATCATCACCACCTTCAACTCCTCCTTCTCCTTACTCGGTGTAACTACTCCTCTTCCTCTTTTTTCGATACTGTTTTCTTCAAAGTCATAAAGCCCTAATTTCCCCTTTATCTCAAACCCGAAATTACCCACTGTATGATGAATCGACTCTTTCGATGTTGTTTAATTTCATTATTTGGCTTAGTTTTTGTAAAAGCAAAATATCCCCAATTTTTATAAAACCCTAATTTTATTCTTCGCTCTCAAATCCGAGTATAACAATGCTCATGAGTAAAAATTGATCTTTTAGTTTGTTTAATCTTTTACATAACTCTGATTCAATTCTGTGGATGTTGTTGAATGTTGAAACCCTAATTGAGAATAGTTGATTTATGTTGGTTGTGCAGAAAGTAGAGTTTTTGATCAAGAACAAGAAAGATGTCGTACATGTTGCCTCACTTGCATTCGGGGTGGGTTGTGGATCAGGCTATCTTTGCGGAGGAAGAGCGTCTCGTTGTCATTCGTTTTGGACACGATTGGGACGAGACTTGTATGCAGGTACATGTTCTTTTATATTTCATAATCATTCATTCACTATAACTACTTGGAAAAATTTCATTCATTCAACTATACATGAAAGTGTCAAAGTTTTATACTTCGATTTACTTTGTATGCCTAGATATAGTTGATATTGATGTGCAATTATTTGTAATTTTTGTCTCAAGAGTTCTGTAGCCCTCTCCAAAGAGGAGAGAGAGCTTGTACTAATGTAATGTAGTATGAATATATGATATGTTGTTCAATTCAGGCACTATCCATTGCTTAAATAAAGAGTGTATTATTAATGGGAGAGGTTTTGTCAATTATAGAGCGTAGAATACTGTTTATATTTAGTTCAGCAAGGAATAATTAGTCTTGGATTTAAATAGCTTATTATAATGACACTATTGCTTCTATTTTCACAATTATTAGTTTCATATGTCATGTGGTTCCTACCAAAAGTACCACATACAAATATTGCTATGTGGATGAAAAGTGGCACAATCACGTGGTTTCCTACTTAGCTACAATATTGCCTGCAAAATTAGAGAGAAATAGAATTGAGCCGTTGGCAAAATTTATTAGGGAGTCATGCTATAAATGTAACTTGGATATAGACAATTTCATTGATCTACTGATGAATAGTTTTCTACGAATGACTATAGCAATTGGTATGGCTTGTGTTGGCTTATGTGGACTATGCCTAAAAATAAGAAAAAAATATATATGAATTACATATTTCATTATGCCTCAAATGCCACCCATTTTGGGAGAAAGATAACATCTTAATATCCAAAATAGTACATGGATAATTGAGTCTTTCAAAGCAAATTGTCAAACCACTAAGTTACAATATTTATAGGCATTCATCACATCATGATGTTAATAACCTACTGTAGTATCAAAATGGTTGTTAATGTATGCAAAAATTTGCAAGTAGTGACAACACCTAGAATAAAGTAAGTGGCTGAAATTGTTTAAGTAGTGACAACACCTAGAAGTGGCTGAAACTGTTTTATTTGTGCGAGCTTTCATTGATATTTCACAAACATACTTGCCTGGGATAAGATTATGGGACCCCCTTGTTTGATAATACTCACTATGTATGCTGTAAATTTATCCATATGATACTGAACACCAAAGAAGATACAACAAGTAAGAGTGTTCATCAGAGTTCATTTACTCCAAAAAATAAACATAAAAGGATAGCACAAGTTATACATACATACATACATACAGTTAAAGGCTATTGTAAGTCCTGAATAGTGAGCCAAAAACAGAATGGTTTTCATAATTGATTTATTTGCTAGTAAGCTCATGTCACCTATTACAGTTTAGAACGAAAATTCACATCCATTAAAAACCTTCATAATTAATTCACATCCATGAGATGTGAAGAATATAAACAATGTGTTTTTCTCATTGGTTTAGTTTTTATTTGTGCGAGGTTTAATTCTTGTTGATGTCTTAATTGTCCTTTGGACCAAAAATACTTATGGTTAATGTGTTTTATTTTATTTTCTTATGCAGCAATGTATCAATGAAGATGTTGAAAAAGACGATATAAATGATGAAATTCAAGAGGACGACATAAATGATAAAATTCAAGAGGACGACCTAAATGATAAAATTCAAGAGGATGACGTAGATGACGAATTTCAAGAGGACGACATAGATCTAGATGATGAATTTCAAGAGGAGGATATAGATGGTGAATTTCAAGAGGACGACGTAAATGAAGAATTTATGGAGGATGACATATCTAACGAATTTCAAGAGGACGATCTGGATGCTTTACTCCTAGAAGACAAACTTGAATGAGTTGGATGATGTCTTTTTTTTGGCTTGTAGTTGAAAGCATTAAACTTGAAATATGATTTTTGTTCTTTTGCTGAACTATGTTTTTAGTTATTTTACTAGGGTCATACTTCAAAGTATTAAAAGTAATATTGTTACGTTAGGTATTTTGTATACTCTATATACTATATCTTGAATTAAAGTTTGAACTCGATTTTATTATATTACAACTTTTATGGATGTATGGTTTAAGTTATATAATCAATATTATTTTTGAAGGCAATTATTATTGACTATATTATTTTGATAATAATTGCAAAATTGTATATTTTATGTGGACACTATAAAACAACAACCTATAAGCTATGGCTACACTTCAAAAACGATCTTCCTGATTCAGGTTTTAGGCAACGATTGTTAATTGTAGCCGAATTTGGAAACGCAACGCTTAAAAAACGTTGTCTCAGAGGCCGTAAATAATCGTCCCCTATTCCTTTACTATAGGCGACGTTTTTCAAAAGCGTTCCCAAAAAACATAAAAAAACGTTGCCTCAAACAATAGGCAACGCTCGCACAGGAGACGCCTAGAAAACGTCCCCTATTGTTTTAGGCAACGATTTTCAGAGTTCTGGCAACGTTTTTCAATTGTTGCTGGAGAGCCTAAATGTTGTAGTGCCTTGACCATCTGCAGAAGCTGTTTGACAGGCTGAAGTTATACAAGTTGAGGTTAAACCCGAACAAGTGCACCTTCGGGGTGAGGTCTGGTAAGCTACTGAGGTTCGTCGTAAGTGACAAAGGTATTCAAGTGGATCTTGCCAAAGTGAAAGCTATACAGGAGATGCCAGCTCCCAAAACAGAGAAAGAAGTTAGAGGCTTTCTAGAACGACTGAACTATATTGCCCGATTCATCTCGCACCTGACTGCTACTTGTGAGCCAATCTTCAAGTTGCTGAAGAAAAATCAAGTAGTACATTGGAACGATGAATGCTAATCCGCTTTTGAAAGGATCAAAGAGTATCTCCAAGAGCCACCTATTCTGATGCCACCATTTGAAGGGAGACCTTTGATCTTATACTTGATAGTACTCGACAACTCAATGGGGTGTGTGTTGGGTCAGCATGACGAGTCTGGCCGAAAAGAGCATGTAATTTATTACCTTAGCAAAAAGTTTACCGAATGTGAGACCCGATACTCACTGCTCGAGAAAACTTGATGCGCTTTGGCATGGGCTGCTCGCCGGCTGAGACAGTATATGCTGACTCACACTACTCTATTGATATCAAATATGGATCCCATCAAGTATATCTTCGAGAAGCCCGCTTTGTCCGGAAGAATAGCAAGATGGCAGATGATCTTGACTAAGTATGACATCCAATATACGACCCAAAAGGCAATCAAGGGAAGTGTATTGGTAGACCATTTGGCACATCAGGCAGTGGATGATTACCAGTCTATGAACTTTGAATTCCCGGACGAGAATATCATGTTAGTGACTGATTGTGAGACACCTGGACCGGATGAAGGACTCGAGGAAGGATCCCGATGGTCTATGTACTTTGATGGAGCTTCGAACGCTTTGGGTAATGGCATTGGCTCCGTGATCATATCTCCTAAAGGCTCTCATACTCCGTTCACCACCCGATTATGTTTCAACTGCACCAACAACATGGCGGAGTATGAAGCGTGCATTATGGGTCTTCAAGCAGCAATTGACCTAAGGATTAAGTTCTTGAGTGTCTTCGGAGATTCCGCTCTGGTGATCAGTCAGATCAAAGGCGAGTGGGATACGAAACACCCTAATCTTATTCCTTACAAGGAGTATGTGTTGACATTGCTTGCCTATTTCGAGGAGATAACCTTTGAACACTTCCCTAGAGAGGAGAATCAGTTGGTGGACGTGCTAGCTACGATGTCTTCTATGTTCAAAGTCAATTGGGACAACGAGGCTCCCCAGATTATCATTGAAAGATTAGACGAACCTGCACATTATTATGATCTTGAGACTGAAGAGGTAACAGAAAATCCCTGGTATCATGAGGTGAAAAGTTATCTTGATGCTCAGGAATACCATGAGGGTGCATCTGTTAATGACAAGAAGTTTCTGAGGAGGTTTGCGGCGAAGTTCTTCATCAGCAATGGTACTCTTTATAAGCGTAACCATGATTCGACCTTACTGCGTTGTGTGGATAAGAATGAAGCAGAAAGGATCATGACAGAGTTACATGAAGGTACTTTCGAAACTCATTCCAGTGGACACACCATGGCAAAAAGATCCTACGGGAAGGATACTATTGGTCCACTATGGAAGCAGACTATTATCAGCATTCTCGGACGTGTCACAAGTGCCAAGTCTATGCTGATAAGGTGCACATACCTCCAGTACCTCTGAATGTCTTGACGGCACCTTGGCCTTTTGCAATGTGGGGCATTGATATGATCGGCGAGATCAGACCTACGACATCCAACGGGCACCGTTTCATCCTGGTAGCAATTGATTACTTTACGAAGTGGGTTGAAGCAACTTCCTTTGCTACCGTAACCAAGAATGTCGTGGCACGGTTCATTCTGCACAATCTGATCTATCGATAGGTGTACCAGAGAGGATTATTACGGACAATGGTACCAATCTCAACAACAAGATGATCACCGAGCTCTGCGAGCAATTCAAAATATAGCATCACAACTCTTCTCCCTATCGTCCAAAGATGAATGGGGATGTAGAAGCGGATAATAAGAACATTAAGAAGATTGTGCAGAAGATGACAGTGACATACAAAGATTGGCACGGGATGTTACCATTTGCTCTTCATGGGTAACGTACCTCATCACGGACGTCAACAGGGGCAACCCCCTATTCCTTGGTATATGGCATGGAGGCAGTCTTGCCCATTGAAGTTTAGATACCCTCTCTTTGGATCATGAAGGATGCGGGTTTGAGCGAAGATGACTGGATTCAGACCCGGCTTGATCAGCTGAACCTAATTGACAAAAAGAGACTTACCGCTATTTTTCATGGTCAGACGTACCAAAAACGGATGATCAAGGCATTTAACAAGAAAGTCAGATGACAAGAGTATCAAGTTGGGGAGATGGTAATCAAGCGCATTATTCTACCTCAAGGTGATCCCAGGGGCAAATGGACCCCTACTTACGAACGGCCATTTGTGGTTAAGAACATTTTCTCGGGAGGAGCCATGATTCTAACCACCATGGATGGTGACGACCTTCCTCGTCCCGTTAATGCAGACATAGTGAAAAGATACTACGCATAATCAAAGACCCGCTAGGTTGACTGGCCTAGGCAAAAATAAGGGCTTCCCGGCAAAACAAAAGGGTTCGGGAAAAAATAAGGGATGAAAATGAAAAAATTTGTACGCCCGGCAAGTCGAAAACCTGAAAAGGCGACTTGGGCAAAAAAGGGTATCCCGGTGGACAAAAAACATGAAAGGGCGGTCCAGGAAAAAATTAGGGATCAAAGCGTAACACTATGTCTCATTGGATCACCTTGCATCCAGACTTCGGTATCAACTATCAAGCTCGGACAACACTAATCAATCAGATTCACCTTCAACCAGTAGAAAAGTGATGAGATGCTCGAGGACATAAGGGCAATAGCAGAGTTGGAACCCAGTGGGATTATTCACATAGCTGTTTTGTTTTCTTTTCAAAAATTGTATAAATTCCATTTGTTTGGCGGCGTTCTCTTACTAGGACGTCAGCCTCTTGTACAAAAATGCCTATTTACAGGCTAAACTTCAAAATCAATACAAATTCATTTTCAAAGAACTTTCAAACTGTTTTTCTTTATCTGTTTTGATTTTGCAAAGAACGCCCAATGTTCATTTTTTTATATATGCATTTGACATTAATTGCTGATCATAAATATTTACATGCGAAACAAAAGATGAATTACTGGTAATATCAGAAGCAGTGGCAATAAGAATTGTCTGAACTGTACAGTTGCTCTGTCCTCCAGGTACCAAGGTATATTCAGCTGGAGAATATGGCTAAGATACTTTCACTCCCCGCAGAGTAAGACAGTAATGGTAGCTCTCCCCAGCTGAGACTTGCAACGACGAACGAATCAGCAATACTCTCCCCAAGCAGAGTTGATCTATCATCAGCACTAAGAAGGTCTTAATATTCCCCAGCGGAATATAAGAATATTCCCCAGCAAGTATCAGAGTATCCTCGGCAGTCTTAATATTCCCCAGCAAAGTATAAAAATGTTCCCCAACAGAATACGAGATACCCCTAGTGGAGTCAATATTTCCCCAACATGGTCTGAAAAAAGCTTCCCCAACGGAATTGAATCTACATCCCCAGTAGACTCTGGAAGTTTATCCCCAGCGGAGTACAAAATAAATCTCCCCAACCAAATTCAAAGGATTATCCCCACAAGAGTCTAACAGGGTTATCCCCAGCAAGTTGCAACCGAAAGATCATCCCCAGCGAAGTTCTTTCCTTTCACAAACAAGAATTCAGTCCTCAAAAGATTCAACATCACCAGCAACAGTAATCCATCCCCAATGGAGTTTATCAGCGGAATCCCCAGCGGAGTTTATCGTTAAAATCCTCAGCAGAGTATCTCCTCCCCCCAGAGTAGTCCCCTCGTTAGTTTATTCCCCAATGGAGTTATCCTCACCTGCAAGTTTATCACCTTCGTTCACCCTCCCCAACGGAAGCGAAGAATTCAACTCTATTCTCCAGCAGCTATCCGGGATTTTTTTTCCCCAGCTAAAACATC